TTTTTCTTAAACATATTTAGGAAACCCCACAAGTTTTAAGACAGAAACTAACGTGACTGTTTAAGGAACACCTCTCTGCCAGCTGAGTGAGAGAGAAATGAAGGGTTGGATAGAAGGTCGCGGAACCAGCTGGATGCTGTTGGAACAACCTGTACAAAACCGACGGTGTCTGAGACGGAGCAGAGGGTGCGGACACAGACCAAGAAGACACGACCTGCCGGATAATCAGGTGAAGGGAGTAAAAGAGAAAGTCCAGAATGGCTTACAAGTGCCTGGCCTTGGAATGTAAATTAACGAGCATCTGATGAAAAAAGACAGTTTGGGAGAGAAAATGATGAACTGGGATGGTATCATGAGATCTGAAATGCCTACGGGGCATCCCAAAAGAGATTTTCAAAGGGTCCGGGCTCAGGAGAGTGATCTGGGCTGGAGGGCTGGAGGTGCAGGCAGGTAGAACGTAGTACCTGCGGGGGGCGCGATGAGGAGGAGGCTGATAGGAGCAGAAAGAAAGCCTGGAGAGGAACAGCCAGGGCGGCTCCGTTCTTACTCATCCCTCAGATCGTAGCTTCAAGGCTTCATTCTCTGCAAGTCGCCCGTGACCACCCCAGTCTGGGCCAAGGCCTCCTTGTACTCCCAGATCACTCAGGCGCGCTGCGATTTCAGTGTTCACAGCAGCACCTCCGGCGTCCAGCACGGGGCGTGGCTGGCAGGTGTGCTGACAACATGCCTTTGTTAAGTGAAGTGAGCCTTTGCCAGTCCTCGTGCACGTGCACCGCCATCTCCTCAGGTCAGTCTAAGAGGATGGAGTCTACGCCACTTACCTCTTAGCAAGCTTAGCAACTAGCCCACTTCTCTACAGGGACAACACCCTCCGTAAACGTCCTGACGATGACAGCATGCATGAAGACTCAGTAGCTGCCTACTTGCCACCGAGGGGCTGCGCCAACTCAGGCATGGCAATGCAAACACTGACTTTGACTCTCCAGGTTCTCGGATTTGCCAAGTGTTTTGCTTTCTTCCTCCTTTCCCTTGAAACTACTCTGAATTGCCTGATAAACACCGAAACATTTATTTTAAAGCAAATTTTGAAAACAGGTAAAAGTTCTACAAACAACTCTCCATTTCTTTAGAGTTTTAAAGCCACTCCCCAACAATGAACTTTTATTTACATGATTTTGTTGACCTAACTGTTATCCCTACAACAACACTACGTATGAGATGAACATGGTGGAATGATGATCCCCCTACATGTGAGGAAGTGGTGGTGTGGAAACATTAATTCAATGACATGCCCATGTTTAGAGCTAGGTAACCCTTTTCATTACATGTGAAGAATATCTGAAGACTGAGATGTTTTCTATTATATAAATTTTTAAAAACTGCTAATTAACCTCCTTCAGGCACCAAGTTAAAATTGGATTCTACCAAATCTGACTGCCCAATAAGAAGGTTGGCTTCTCTGATTCTTACCTTCATTACATTATAGGAATTCAGCTTCTTCAGTGGGTTTCCTCACCTTCAGTGTGAGTTCCCAGAAGTGACATCTGAAAGGGAGCTCTAAGCCCAACTTTCCTGAAAACAATCACTCGGAGCCATGGCATTTTAACCAGAAATGTCCAAAGTCAGCTCACCTTATTCATATTTTCTAATTTATAAGAAAACATAAAGATACTGTCACTTTTAAAAAACAAGTTCCAGAGTTCTACATTACAGTTTCTACCTACAAACCGATTTAGATATAATCATACTTTCCATTTATGTGTTTCTTCCTCTTTTGCACAAAATAAGCAATTGGAATTTGTATGAAATAGCCTTAAAAATAAGGAAATTCTGTGATCATAACCATCACCATCAGATGGCATATACAGTAGTTATCATCCAAACTGGACACTGCTGAGAGTGAGAAGGGGCACTGTCAGCAATTCCGCTGGGACCACAGGAGTAAATCAGGACTGTCCCGGGAAAACGCAAATGAATGCCTGCTTGACCTTGGCATTCCTTACGATCACAGGTTGCAATCACACCATGTGGCAGAGCACTTTCCCTATGTCATCTTAGACCTAGGAGTCACCGGATACACAGGTAACACAGGCACCCTCCCTCCTCTTCCTTCCCGTCTCAGTTAACCCTTGAACAAGCTGCTAGAGATGCATCCTTGGAACAAGAGCCTCCTACTTCCCAACTGCTTCGAGGCCATGCAGTCTACATGGTTCTCACTGGGAGCTGTTTGCTCTTTGAAATTCTGTCTCTGGCTTGCACCAGGATTCCTTAGAAATCTGCTTTCTTTCGTCTACAGAAATTAGTAGGACATTCTTCTAATATTATCACTAAATGTCCCTTCTTTTTAAGAAGAGGCAGAAACTTGGTCTCCCTTGAGAGGTGTTTTCTTCTCATAGATAAGACACTTTTGGAGACAGTTATGTGTGGTCATGGGAACTCAGGGTGTGGAGTCAAATGAACTAAGCCAATGTTTGTTCTGCCAGTTATTCATAACACTCGGATCCACAGTGTTCTCACCTGAATACTGGGGGAAATTCAACATCATCTATCTCATGACGATCATCATGATGTATGTAACTGTCACCAGGAAATGCATAATGAAATTTGCAGGCCAACCTTATTAACTATGTGAATTTGATAAGCTTTTCTTATGATCTTATCATTTATCCCAAATTCTATTTTTGGCAATGCAGCCTTTCATTACCTACTTCTCTACTTAACTATTATAGTGTTATGATACCTCTAATCCTATATGGAATAAAGAATAAATTAAACAAGCAAACAAAAGCACTGTCTTCTGAGTTGGCTCTGTAAGGTGTTCAGGGTGCACCCATCCTGCCCTGTCTTTCTAGAAGAGAGGAGTAAGCACAGAGAACGGCCGTGCCCGGTGGGGTCCACGTGAGCAAAGTGCTCCTTCAGGGTATTTCCCCAGGTTCTCAAGAAATCACAGAATGATTAGTCCAGGCTTATGTTTTTTAAATAAACATTTTCAAAGTAAACTACAATCCCTTGGAAAAGTCAATTAAATATATTTCCTACATAAATGTTTATAAATGTCTTTAGAATGGATAGTAATAGCTTTCAGTGGCAAAAGACTTTAAAAGTTTTCTCTCCCAGACCTACTACTATTCTACTGCCCAGCAGTAAGACAGAGATTCACACTTTACACACAAGACTGTAAATGAAGTCTGTGAAGCTGTAGAGATTCAACAAGGCATACCAGCCCAAATCAAATGGGGCAGTAAACACCAAAAAGAGAATTTCAAAATAAACTGGCTATACTTTGCACTTAAATGCCCAATAGCTGCTGTGAATGTGAAAACCACCAAAGCTGAGAAATAAATGTAAATGGATAGTCCACAAGACTTGCTATTGCACCCCTGCAGCCACCCGCTCATAAAATATCTGTGTAGTGATAATTTACTGTTTTTAAAAAAAAACACTAACTGACAAGACATAAAGTTTTCAGTTCAATGCAAGATTTCTGCCCCAGAATCTTAACATCTCCTTGTACCTATTTAATAAAATACAACCTATACATAAAAATAAGTTTTTCAGGCCTATAGTTTGCTCTCTAAAATAGCAATTAAGGTTATCATAAATGAGATTCTGCTTGGTTATCTTGCAAACAAAAAATGAAGTCACAAGTTTAACAATACTAACAATTGTACTGTAGCCTCTGTCTTGGGAAAGAAGGGCCTTGCAAATGCCACCCACCAAGGCCATGACACTCTTTTGGAAGTGCTGACAGACTTTGCTTTCCTGAGTGTAGTGCAGGAAGTGACCACACTGGGCGAAGTGAGATGAGCTCCTAGTAGAATGACTGACTTTCACCTGATTACTGCTGTATGCCTAATGGCCACTTGTAGGGTCTATCCCCGTATTTCCATTGTTCCTAGAGAAGGGCCCAGTGTTACTTAGGAAATAGGGCAGAAAAGAATCTCCAAATACATAAGAGCCTACCTATGGTTTAGTCTGTGGCAAGAGCAGCGTTTGGCCTCTGAAATGGGTTACAGAGCTTGCAGTCTCCCATCCAAAGCAACTTGTCTCAAATAAAGTCCTCTGACGTTTTCTAACCATAATCACAGCAGATATATTTATATTTCAAAAAAGGAAACAAAATATGAGTAGATGAGATATCTGTTCTTACATATTTTCATCTGGCTTTACTGCTCTTTTCAATAAAATGGTATTTTAAAGTCATTTAAGAATTGAATGGCTAAAAACAATATTAGGAATAGTTTTTACATAGACTTACTGACTGTATCTGCACTTGTTTCCTTTATTGTTCTAGTTAACAAGTGTGATTATTTGATCCACAAGTGTTACCCCAATAAATGTTAAGCTCCAAGAGGGCACTGCCTGGCAATGTAAAGAGAGGCCTCACTGATTTACAATAGTCTGTATAAACCATCTGGCTCTTTTTATTCTTCTTGGCTTATGATAATCTATTAGATTAAGAAATATTTTAAATGCTGGTTTCGGGGTCTCTAGGAAATAAAATGTTTAATTAGTAACCATTAGTGACATTAAAATATTTATATGCCTTTTAGTCCTACGTAATTGAATTTAGTGAAAAGGAGAGAAATGGAGGCAGTAAGTTACCTGGCATATAACAGCATTATCAGTTTACCTGATAAAATAGGGCTTCAGACATAACTTTCTCCTGTGACCCCAAATGGATGTGTTAGAAATCACTTGTGTTAACAGAATGATTTTACCTAGAGCCACTCTAAGTGAAACCAGTTCATGTCTCAGGACTGAATAAAGAAATCTGCTGCATGAGTTACTCCCACAAAACTGTACATCTTAGGTCCGTTTCAAGTGCCCTGTAGTATATTTTGGTTAGTGTCGAAAAGTACTAGGTATCCAAACCAGTGTGCCCCTTTGGGTGTGTGTTATTTCCAGTTCACAACTCAAGGCAAAGAGACTGGGAAATGCTTCAGGATGAACAAGCAAAGGAATGCTCTGTAATGTGAGACTTAGATTCATGATTTTACCTGATCTGTCCACGAACCAGAGGTCTGTTCTTTGTCCTGTTCATATTTGAATCAAATGGCACCTCAAAAAACTGCAAAGTTGAAAAAAGATAGACAACATTAACTATAAAGTGAAACAATTCTTCTCTTCAGCTTTAGTTCTACAAATTTTTTCACAGTAAATTTCACTTTAACTTTGATTATGCAAATTAATACTCTTGGTACTGTTTGGAGGAAAGTTCCTGGAAAGACACATTTATTTATTTATTTATTTTTAAAAAATATATCTTTATTGATTTCTGAGAGAGGAAAGGAGAGGGAGAGAAAGAAACAGAAACATCAACGACGAGAGAGTCATTGATCGGCTGCAGCCCGCAACCCGGGCATGTACCCTGACCGGGAATCGAACCCTGATCGCCTGGATCTTAGGTCGACACTCAACCGCTGAGCCATGCCCGGATGGGATGGGGACACACATTTAAAGATTACATGCATTAATCATCAGGAATACACACAGGTCCTCTTTTATCTGCTCTAAAACCACTTGTTAAACACACAGTTGCATTCTTCAAAGCGACTGTTTTTGGTTGAGGGAGGGACAGTTTCATCGTGTTTGCAAAAGCATGGTTTTGCTATTGCTTTATTTGGAAGTTAAATATGAGTGCCAAGCCTACAAGGGTGAACTGTGATGGCCATGTTGTGTCAAGTTAGCTAACCTGGATGCTGCTGCCCAGAATTCCTGTTCCTGTATAACTGGAGGTTAGGGACAGCCCCGGACATGCTGCATGAGAGCTGGGAGGTGGGAAGGAAGCAGCAGCTGTGCTTCCCCATGGAAAGCTGGGGTAAGGTCAGGCACTGTTGCAGCTCACACACAAGTGGATCTGCTGTTTCGCCTGTTAGCTTAGAGTAGCACTGGGGCTGTAGCTTCACCAGCTCCTGCCAGACCGCGGGCTTTGGCTACTCCCCAGCTCGTCTACTTCTAATCTGTGGCCGAGTCTACATGCTGCTCCATGCAGTGCACCAGCTCTTCTGCAGGTCGCCTGCATCACCCAAGCTGCAGGCTTGGAAGTGCAAGAGACAGACAGCCCCATCTGTTCTCATGAGTTTCAGCTCATCCTTGCAGATTCCAGGCACTCTCGCTTTCCTGGACTTTCCTAACTGATGGCTCTGCTCATGTCAGACCAACACCAGATGCAGGCCTAACACCCAGGATCACATGAGACCTAAAGCCTACAATACATCCCTCATATCATAGGGGTCTGACACTCTGAGCATACTCCAACTGATACAGGCTTCTTCTCTATACTTTCAACAGGGCCACTATTTAACAGTATTGAACTTTCCAATGTATGTTCATCTTATCTAATGATCTAAATGGCAGGCTTCCTGAGATATGTGAATTTACATTCTTAATGTTAAAGAGAGCTATGCAAACAGGCACTCAATAAGCAATTTATTAAAGCACCAGTACAAAAAATATATTTGCAGATCGCATTACATTCATTTAAAAATAATACATAATATATGTGTTAAAACATTTTTTGCCTATAAGAGTATATATTCCTTATTGAATTAGTTCAAGTCATGCAACTAAACATGCAACTAAAATGTCTGTCTGTCCACACTCCCTCCCTTCTCCAGTATTCACACACACTCTATGGGTATTTCAAATAACCTTTCCTTCAGGACTAGTAACTCAGCTTCACAAGACTAATGAGGATTCCAATTAAAAATAACAATACTTAAATGCTGGTAAGGTGTTATTTAAATAACACAGAAACGCTTGTATAAATAACTTAAATAACTATCTTGACAATTCTCAAGTCTGTATGTGTATATATGCAATTTCCTAGTTCAGGAATTCTAATAATCTATTTCATCTGGATGAAAAAGTATATTATTTTTTTCTACATTTCTGGCAAATCAGCCACCCTAAGATGGGAGCTGAGGTCTAGACTGTCGACTGAACTGCAGGCTTCGATCACTTGACAGCAGCTTCTGATTCCCAGGAATGCTTAAATTAATCAGGACAAGCAGCACCTGGTAGAAATGCAATGCTAACCAAGACTCAGGATCCATTTCACTGAGGGCTCGACAACTCTTCCCAGCACCAAGGGATCGGAGCTCACCACCTCCTTTATTCCGTGTCTCATGTACTTTCTGTAATGCCTTTCTAACAGGTTTACTGCTTTGGTTTAGATATTTAAACCACATTTCCAAAACATAAACAGTATAATTAGATGAGAAATTTAAACACTTTAGAACCTACAGTTTGCTTTAGTCTGTTCACATTTTTCTTGTGCTTTATAATATTTTTTTAATAATATAATTATCATTTCAGTTGGATCCAATTACTTCTGGAGAAGTGAAGTAAAACTATTTTTATATGTGCCGAAAATAAAATACGAGTGCAGTATTACCAACCCTAAGACTATAAATACACTGTTCTGTCCCTTTTTAATATTTCTCACTGCTTCGAATACCATCAGAAGGAACATGCTGGGGTGAACACCACTCGGATGGCTGCTCAGACCACACTGGTTCAGGGCCCAGGCTTGTGCTCGACCTGCCTTCTCTTAGAGGGCTCTGTTCATTGGGTCCCAAATGGCCTTCAGCCTACTTAGTACTTTTTCTGTCCCCCCCCTTCCCCGACCCTACCCACCGGCCGGGATTGGTTACCAAGTAGGTATCTGATTCAAACTGGGCCAATGAGAGTCCTTCCTGGGGATTTTACAAGCTAAAGCCAAGGACAGCATGCCCTCCCTTCTCTTGGGCTGCCTGTGCCCATGGAACAGGCTAGAAGGAAGTGGAGGAGAGACCCAACATTGATTCCTTGGGTGAAGTTAAGTCCATGGCTCCACCTCTGCCCTTTCCGGTTTACACCAACCCTACATAGTTCTACACCTCTTGCCTCCGATGTCCTAATACATGAAGACTAGAACTGTCAAACACCTGAGCAATGTATTGCATAGAAACAAACACCATGCTCTTTCCTTCAGCACACAACTTGCTTTCTGTCTAAGCTACATTTTCAGAAGAAGTTTCTCTCAGTATCTTTTCTTCATAAAAATCCATCAGTCTTTTGCAATTCTTTGCATTTAAAATTTTTCCTTTTTTATTCAAGTTCACTACTTCGCCATCTTCCTTCTAGTCAGATAATCCTTCACATTTCTTGCCTTTCTGCAAGCCTATGATCTGTTATATTACTCAGGCTCCTGGGGTTGCAAATAGTAAAAACAAAGACAAATAACAACAAAAAAACCCCTAAAATAGCTCAAATTAATCTGGGGCTTTAACTCTTACAACAGAGTTGTCCAGCTTTTGGAAATGACAGGCTTCAGTATCACGTGGGCTATCCGGATTCTGGCTCGTTCCATCTCTGAATCTGCGTGGAGTACTCCTGCACACAGGCCCTTTCCAGGAAGCCGACAAACAAAGGTCACAGGCAGGCCCAGACTCATCCTCTAGCAACCAGAGCAGAAAGGTTAGTTCCTGAGCCACCATGGCCCTAAACCACCATGGCCAGGGCATGAGGTGACTACCCAGTGCGCACGGGAAGGGTGTTGGTGGAGAGGTACAATGACACAGCCCCCCACAAAAGCCACAAGTATTATTTTTTCTATAGAAAAGAGAAATTCTATTACCAGAAGAAAGTGAGAAGATGTCAGACAGATGTAGTGAAATTATTTAAAACTCAGAGTAAAGTTGACAACCCCAAATCCATTTCATACATGTCACACCTACAAAATAACTTGCGTACTGTAGGAGTATTCTTAGTTTAAGTATCTGAAAGGCATTAATCAATACAAACATAATAAATAATTTATATTAACCTCTCTCTCATAATCAGTTTAACAGTCTATTTAACAGAGTAGTAAGTGGATCATTTCCGCCCCCCTCATAGTCACACAATTAAGACATAGGGCACTATTATACCAATGGATAAATATTTATTAGATGCCTATTATAATATTTTTGCTTTTCTATACTATGTTTTTGTATTAGTAGATAATTATTATGACTCCAAAGAGATGATGCTTAGATATAGCATATGCATATAAATCCTTCTAAAAGACAATATACACTTATGATACTATCAAATTTCGTGAGCTAAAATGACAGATACCCAAAGTGGACAGGAATGTAACTTGGCCCAAGTGATGAACTTTTTGTCCCTACTCTGATTAATTATACCCTATGAAAAAAGCAGATGTATTATAGAGATGTTTGTCAGGCTCAGAAAATACTGAATTTGATACTGAGGTACAACTTTTCCTTTCCCTATGCTAAATAATGACAGCAACAGTCTTTCCAAAGACTGAGTAGAAAACACATGAACCTTGTCAGAGCTTGTTTTTCCACCCATCACGTGGTTGTCATTCCAATGTGACTCACAGCTTCCAAGGTCCAAGATAATGTCTCAATCAATCTCAGACCAAGTTAAAACGGATGTTAAACAAAATAAATAAAGCATAGTGAGAGGCACCTTTTCCAGCAGGATCCACATACCATGACTTTCAGCTTACAAATCAGTTAAATACCTGGCCAGCCATTACTTTTTCGTTGTTACCAATGTTTTATTGCCACACCTAGAACAAGCAAATTAACTAAGCCTTGCTGTTCCCACTGATTTTCCCCGTGAGCATGTGGAATAGCCAGTGTAGGTGTGCTCTGGCATTCATTAGAAGTGGCTTTCCCCCACGTGGTAACTGCAGCAACATTCTCCTCTAAGCACACTCAAGCCATCTCTCATTAAGCTGTATTTAAAAGCTTCACCCTTGCCCAGCTGGCATTGCTCAGCAATTGAGCATCAACCTGTGATCCAGGAGATTGAGGTTTGATTCCAGGTCAGGGCACATGCCTGGGTTGCGGGCTTGATCCCAAGCAGGGAGCATGCAGGAGGCAGCCGATCAATGACTCTCTCATCATTGATGTTTCTGTCTCTCTCTCTCTCTCTTCCTTTCTCTCTCTAAAATCAATAAAGATATATATATATTTTTAAAAAGCTTCACCCTTAAAGGGAAATAATAAAAAGGTCTAAAAGGCCACCCAGCACTTATCTGAGGCCAAAGTACCATGTCCTGTAAGTAAA